GCCGCTGCCTTCCAGCGCTGGTGGCATTTATCCTCCTTCGGGCGTGTGATTATGGGAGCGTTGTTCATCCCGGGCGTGTTAGGGGGTTTTCTAATAGCAGGAGGCTTTTGGTAAAGTTTCCCCACGCTCTCTGGAGCAGAAGCTGTCAAGTGCCTGGTGAGGTGGAGGGTGGGGGGGATTGTGTCAGTATGGGAGCGCTTCCCCTTTTGCACGGTGCTTCTGTGGGTGGGATTTGGGTGTTGAAGGGAAGCCTGCGAGGGAGAAGAGCAGAGCGATGTCACAACATGGTCTTCTCTCTGTAGGTGGGTGATGCCAAGCACAGCCATGAAGAAAAAGGTAAGAACTGGAAGGAGAATTCTTCACGTTGGGTTTTCCTTCCCTGTCTGCATTTGCTGATGTCATTACGTGTTTGCATCTGAACTGTGGTGTGTTCTTTGGCTGTCAGGTGGTTCAGGAGCCTCCTAAGACTCTCAGAGTCAGCAGATGCATCCTTTGCTTAAAGTGCTAGAAATTAAAACCGGGTTTGAGTTCATTTGGTAGCATGAGCAGTGGTGCAGGCTGGCTGCGGAGCCATCCCCATAACTGCTGTGTGAGTGTTTCTGGGATGGGTTGCAAAACCCTCTGCTCACTGCGTGCCTCCCGCAGCACGAAGGAAGAGGATATGCTCTAACCTGCTGCGTTGGCCTGTGGGGAGACTCTTCTGATGTGTTACAGAGTGTGGGGAGCCCATCCTTCACTGAGGGCTCCTGGGAGGGTGAAACACGTGGGGAAGGAGCAGCACTTGTACCGAGAGTGGAGGGGTGGAGGGTGTGTTTTCCAGCAGTAAGCAGATCCAAAGCTGTTAAAGTGTCTGTGTAGAGAATGAACAGCTATCTTTCTGCAGCATGCTAGGATTGGGTTTCCTGCCTGGCGCTGCGTGCTGGTGTCTGACCCCTGTGAAAGGCCTCCGCAGTCTAAAACCTGGGAATTGGGTTCGCCTGTAGGCTGGCGCGGGCTGTGCCTTGGGGCCGTATTGGGTTTCTGCACGCGCTGTTGCTGCAGGTGGTCTGAAATAAGAGATGCTGATGTTCTCTCCGCTCTGCGTGTAGCCTGGGGGAGAAGACAGCGTGGCTTTCTGGGGGTTTGCTCCGGAAAGGCTGGTAGGGTGTGACCTGACCAGCCTGCCTCTCTGAGGAAGAGTCCTTGTTACCAAATCATCGAGGCATGTGGTCGCTGCTTTATGGAAAGGGCGCTCAGCAGCCTGTGAGATGTTGCAGTTGCTCTCAGGAGGGTAACTTGTGCAATTCTGTGATTCCGCTTCTCCTGGGCTGCCCTGAGAGTCCGGCAGCGTTGCCGTGCAGTCACGGGGCGAGGTTGGGAGTCAGGCGAGCACCTTCCCAGCTAGTGTTTGGCACTCGTGCGGGCTGGGCAGGCAGGCGAGGGCTGGTTGCGCTCCCGTTAAACTATCCTTGATGATAGATTTTCAGAGCTGTTGCCAAAGGCTGAATTTGACTTTGTAACTGGAACTTGTTTAACAGCTGTTTTTGTGAGCAGGTCTGTGTTGGCTGTCACTGTTGGGGTTCTTTAATTTTTATTTTTAGATCACAGAGTAGAGTCTTGCCCTGTGACTGTCTCCACTCTTCCCTGTCCCCAAATCATCCCTAGTTTTTGGCTACCAGAGGTGCTGCCTCTCCTTTGGCCTGATGACCTGCACACAGGACTCTGGAGTCGAGCGTCTGTCCTACACGGTGCGCTGGAACTGGGCTGTTCCATCTGCTTTTAGCTTTTTGCTGCTCTTCTGATGCTGGAAACTGGAAATATAACTTGTATTTCACTTCTGTCAGGGAGGAGAAAACATGGGAATGAAAAGAGCATGATCAGGAGAGAAGTAACGGGTGGAGAATACCAGTGCTGGGTGGGCAGGGGGTTGTTTCCAGCCTGGTCTTAAAGGCTTGCGATCAAGCTTTTCTTTTGTCTTGGCAAAGCCCTTTGATGTTTTTGATGACAGCAAGCCTTCACCTGCGGTGCCGGTGTGTTTGGAAAGTGTGCAGGTGCAAAGGGCTGGGGGAGGCTGCGGCAGCTTCAGGAGCAGCTCCCACTCCTCCCCGAGCGCTGGTTCTGAGCTCCAGGAGTCCTCTGACAGTGTGTGTTGGGAAAAGGGGGTTTGGTGGCAGCGGCTGCGGGCTGGCTGCACTCCCTTCTGGGTGGTGGGACAGAGCGCGGTGCCTGGGAAGGCAGAGATTCCTCAGGGGGTGGGGGGCATAGTTCAAGAATGCAAAAAAAATGATGGGAAGGTTTTCAGGCTGAGCATGATTTAGTGAGTGTGGATAGCAAGGAGGGAAGGATGTCTGCTTCTTGATTTCCTTCTTCTTTGCTGCTCTTTTGATGCAGTCACAGCTGGAGTGTGGTGGTCCTGTGTTGTGTCCGGTGGCTTCAGCAGTAAGATGTTAACCCTGGGAGCCATGGAGGACTTGGTGCTCTGTGGTAGCCAATTCTTTCTTTTTTTTCTCCTCCCAGGTGCTGCTGATGGGTAAAAGTGGGTCTGGGAAGACCAGCATGAGGTCCATTATCTTTGCGAACTACATCGCCAGGGACACGCGGCGCCTGGGTGCCACAAGTAAGACTTCTCCTGTTTGAACTGCAAATTCTTAGGGCTAAAACCCCCTTCATTAACGGGGCGAGGCCGTTCCCTCCAGCAATCCCGGCCTCTCCTCTGCTCTGGAGCAGGTGGGTGTCTGCTGATCCTCCCAGCTGCCACGCCTTGCAGGGAACTTCCCTCCTGAGTTCAGCTGAGGGCAGGTAGGAAGCTGGAGTGAAAGGGAAAGCAGCACTGCTTTCGGTTTTGCTGCTTGATTGTTGAACTTTTATCCTTAACTCTTTATTTTTTCGATCAGGAAGCAGCCTTTGCTGCTGCTACACCTATTGGAGGAGTGTTCCGAGCCTCCTCATGGTCCTCCTTGCTGGTGAAGCTTTCCTGTTGTTAGCCAGCTGATATCTAGTGCAGATGGAGGTGCAGTGATCTTGCTGTGCACCTGTGCATTTGGCAGGAGGCTTAATTTTTTTTTTGCGCTAGGCTTAATTAGCGTATTCTACTTCTTTTTATTTTTTTTTTCCCCCTCTAAAGCCACTGATCTGAAAGAGCAGTGATTCCTCTGAAACGGGGTGTGAATTGTCAGGATCTGACACTCCTGGGAAATGCCTGTGAGGACTAATGTCAGGGATTGGCGTATGTTTCCTCTTTGCTGTACATTTGGCCTGTTCCTAAAGTTTACATTCTTTGTGTTAGTGATTTATTTTTAAGACTTGCTCAAATCCTTGCAGAGTGTGTTGGGAGTAATGCCATTCTTAAAATATCACCAAGATCAGAGAATGTGGTGTTAGAGGAGAGCCACCTGCTGTGCTTCCGGGGAGAACAGTGTCCTGGGTGGAGGGTAGGGAGGTTTGAATTACTCTGGGAACTCTCTTTTCCTGTAGTGCCTTCAGCTGCTCATTTATGTACAGCGGTATTGTTCTGAGGGGATTTTACAACCTGCGGGCTGTGTTGCGAAGAACGGCATTTTCCGCTGCCCGAGGAGGTAGCTCTGATGGGGGTGTGTGGTACAGTCGGTAAACTCCTCTTGTCTCTTTCCAGTTGATGTGGAGCACTCCCATGTTAGATTTCTAGGAAACCTGGTATTGAACCTCTGGGACTGCGGAGGGTAGGTACTGTTTATTCTTTTGCTTTTGAAACCGTTGGGGGTTAGCTCTGGGGAGTGAGGCTGGGGATGTAACAAAACAGAGGTCCTGCTGCCCCGGAGGGATGAGTACACCGCTTGTGAATGAAGAGAACAGAGCAAGCTTTACCCATGCACTGCAAAACTGGTTTTTGGATGCCACATCTTAGGCTGGTGGGTGGAAGACGTTGGCGTGATTATCCCTACATAAAAGGAGCAGTGTGTAGGTCCACCCTTCCCTTGCTGTCTGCTTTCTCCTGCTGGCAGAAAGCCTGAGCCCTTTGCCTGGACTTTCTCCTGAGGTGGCGAGAGGTGATGCTGGTTTCAGAATCGCTCATCACCAGCTTGATCCCAGTGGGGTCCGTGCTGAGGAGCAATGCTGAAGGCTGACAGTGATCCTGTGCCTCCTGGAAGCAGCTTTTTGAAGAACACTCTTCCCATTCAGAGAGCCTCAGCAGCGCTGTCCATTGGCTTCATTGGCTCTCATGTCCTCATGCATGTTCAGCAAGAGTTAAAGGAGATTTAAATCCCGTAATAAGAGGCTACACTTAGAGTTTTGATTATATTTTAGCTTCTGCTGCTGTGGCTTTTTAAGGTACAACTCTTCAAAGCCAGTGTGGATCCGGAAGCCCTGTTTGCACAGGACACTAAGCAGCCAGCTGTGACTTGGGGGCTTTCTGTGAGGCTGGTGAGCAGATGCTCTTCAGGAGTGTCCAGCTTCGCTTGGTTGGAAATGCTCAGGGAGCCCCATGATGTGGGGAATAAAGCCACCCTTGGGGCTCTTGTCTGGACCACTGTGATGGGGACTCTAGCTCAGAGTTCAAACCTTGTCTTTCTAGCAGGAGGTATTGTGCACGTAGCAGCTCTCCTGACAGCGCTAAGCAAGACCTGGTTGTTCTAATGGGAGCCTCCTTGTTTTGTTGCTCTGTTCCTTCTCAGACAGGACACCTTCATGGAGAACTACTTCACCAGTCAGCGGGACAACATCTTCCGCAACGTAGAAGTCCTCATCTATGTCTTTGATGTAGAGAGCCGTGAACTAGAGAAGGACATGCACTACTATCAGTCATGCTTGGAGGCAATTCTTCAGAACTCTCCTGATGCAAAAATCTTTTGTCTAGTGCACAAGATGGACTTGGTGCAGGAGGATCAGCGAGATTTGGTGAGAACCTGGTAGTTGCCATAGAAATGCTTTCACAGAGAGCATCTTTTGGCTGTGCTGATGCATTGTGATTTCATACTTCAAACACAGCCCCATCAGCACTCATCCTAGAAGGGTTTCTCAGATGTTAAGAATTGTCAAAACCCTCTAAGCTTTTTCTGCCTTTTCTAAATTGTATGTCATCACCATCTCTTGCATATAATCTAGTGGAGAACAGACCCAATGGTTTTTAGTTATAACTACTCTAAGCCTTTTCTTTTGTAGCACTGATTCTAGTCCTTTCACCAGCCCTTGGCTGCAGAAGGGAGGTAGAACGTTTGGATGGCTTTGTGGTGGTGACAGTTGGTTTCTCTTTAGCTGTTGCTTTCAGTTCAGCATAGGCTCTGCTCTAAAGCATAACCAAAAAAGTTAAAACTTTCCCAGTTGACTAGAAGGTGGTTTCTATGGGTGGGTTCTGCTGTCTGCTGGTCTGGCTGGCCTGCCCAGAGACCACCTCTCCTCTGCCCCAAAAGGCCTTCTGCAAAGGCTGGGGATCAACCTTTCAGGGGTGTTTGGTGGGTTTGGTTCTTTTCAAAGCTTTTGAAAGGTTGCAGGGAGCTTGGAAGATGTTGAGTTCCTACCAACTTGCTTTTTCAGCTTGGACTGAACAGCAGCCAACTCCTGATACCAAAAGGAAAATCAGCTTTGTGGGTTAGACAGGACAATCCCTGGCTGCTTGGCCACTCCCTGGCTTGCAGCAAGTTTGGGGGCCCCTTTAGGCTGTTGGCTTTTGACTGAACTAAGAAGTCTCATTAAAGTTTTTTCTGATTCCTGGTGAGCGTGTGCCTGGGCAGCTGCAGAGGAGGCCGTGTGAGGTCCTGTGGATGAAAGCACAGCCTGACCTCCCTGCACAGACAGCCTTCTGCCGTGTATAGGCTGCCTTCGGATCACTCTTCCTGCCTGAGAGTCGTGATCCTCCTCTTCCAGTTTGTTTTGCTTTCCAGCTCCGTGCAGAATGAGCTCAAAGAGCTTGTTCATAGGGTTGATTCGAGGAGCTTTTCCTCGCTTGCGTCTGCCTTCCCTCCAGCTGAAGGATGCATCTAAAATCTTGGGCCAAATTGCTGCTTCTGTAAATCTTACTGAAACCTTTGTTATCCCGGGACCCAAACGGTAAGTGTTGGCCTATGCAGCATTCCATGGGGGTCAGTTAATGTTCTGTCATGTTTCTAAGAACAGTAAGCTGAGGTGAAGGTGGTCATCATGTCTTCCTGGGCAGAGGCACGTCGCTGGCTGTCTTGCAGCTTTTTTAGCAGTTCTGTAGGAGCCTGGCACAAGGCTGGCTGCTCTCTGCTGTTCCCCCTGCCCCCTTTTTTTGTAACCGTAACTGCGAAGGGCAGAGTATGATGTGAGAAGAGGAGCCTCAGAGCTGCTCGCACTGATGAACCTCGAGTGCTTTTCTTCCTGTCCTGTTCTTGGGGACGGAGCTTTTTGCCTGTGACCAGGGACTTGTCAAAATTTAGATCCTCAAAGACCCTCATGCGTGTCCACTTCTATTCCCACTGCACAGCATCCCTGGTTATTTCAGCTTGGAGTCCCAATCAGAACCATTGTGAGACGGCCGTGATCTGCTTGTCCCTGCTGCTCCAGGGGAAGGGGTTGCTGCCTGCCTGGCCTGGCCAGTGTGCTCTGCTGTTGTCTTTTCTCCAGTGCTGTTGGTACTCGAGATTTGTTTGAAGTGCCTGCCGTAAATGCAATACGGCAAACCACACCAAAGGGAGGAGTGTTTCAACTCAACTGCTAATCTTTTTTTATTTCCCAGATTTTTAAAGAGCGCGAGGAAGACTTGAAGCGCCTTTCCCGTCCCTTGGAATGTGTTTGTTTTAGAACTTCCATCTGGGATGAAACACTTTACAAGGTTTGTACAGCTTCCTCGCTGGTAGTCTCCACTGTAGTAGAAACACCTAGACACGGAGGTGGGAGAAACTTCTCAGTCTTGCCCAGGCTATCAACACCCAGAACTGCAAATAATCAGTGTTTGAGCATGTTGCATAACAAGAAGCTGAGGCAGAGAAGTGCTAATGCAGCCCTGATGTCGTGTCTTTCTTTGACAGGCTTGGTCCAGTATAGTCTATCAGCTGATCCCCAATGTCCAGCAGCTGGAAATGAACCTGCGGAACTTTGCTCAGATCATCGAGGCAGATGAAGTGCTTCTGTTTGAGAGAGCCACGTTCCTGGTGAATACAGCAGTTCTGCCCTTCGGGTTCCTCTGCCCAGCCTAGGACGGAGTTCCCTGGATGGAAAGCGCTGTTGTGGCAGTAGCCCAAAGAGAGGTGCCAGCGCCAGGTGTCAGAACGCATTGATCCAGGGCTTGTGATACTGAAAGTAGCTGACGTGACTCCATGGCTCACGGGACCTTCCCAAAATTTCCACTTCTAGCAGTTGAGCTGAGGGCTTGGTCGGTATTTCCCTCTTCCAAGCTATGAGAGGGTTTCATATCCCCATTCTGTTCTCAGCCGTGGGACTTTCTTGAGAATTCCTTTCTGCACAGGGCAAGAACCTTTAGCTTGAAATGTATTTTCAGTTCCTCCTGGCCTGGCATTTTAACTGGGCTTGATTTCTTTTTTTTTTTTTTTTTGTCTGATGCTGTACAAACCCAGGATAGAGGATCACAAGCGGTTGGATGGCAATGGCTCTCAAAGTTACCGGCTGCACGGTAACTGCTTCCAGTCCGTTGTCTCTGCAAAGTGAAATGTGTTGGTTAAAACCACCGTTGCTGCTGGTCCAGCCATACTCTCGGTTTGGTCTCTCCAAACTTTGCACCCAAACTCTTGCGAACCTGAAGGAGTAGTTGATTTTTTTCTTTTGAGTGCTTTCCTTGATAGCCAAATGTCTGATTTTTGAAGTGACAGAGGAAATGTAGAAAAGGAGCCATTACTTTTCTCACTTCTTAAAGTATCAGAAGTAAACACCTGCTGTTTCTGGCAAGTTCTGCTTTTTGACCTTTTGTAGATAGTAAATAGTTCCACCTTGGTGGTGTGGAACAGTACTTTCATTAGAAGTAATTTTTTTACTGATAAAGAATAATCTTTGCTACAAAAACTTCATGCTTATTTTCAGTGTAATGGTGACATCTTAAAAGACTCTTCTCACGTTTTTCATATATGTAAACTTCGCCGAGGACTCTTTCCTCCTGAAGTTAAATCTTACTCTGAAATTGTGTTCAAGTCACAGTAACAGAAAAACCTATCTGGAAAGTGGAGGAAGGAACTTGCCTACAATGAAGGCTTTGGTATGAATGTAATCCTTGAATCTGGTTAAACCTGTAGAAGTATGAATAATTGGGCAGGTTTAAAAAGTACAAAGTACATAGCGATTTTTTTTTTTGAGGTGCTCAAGGAGAAAAAAAAAGCCCCCAAAAACCTAGTTCTCGCAATCCTGTTGAACGTGACTCTCTAGGTAGAAAAGAGTTTAACGTCCTTGCACAAGGGCATCTGACACTTCCCGTAGCAGTTGGTCTCATGATTCTTAAGAGCTTAAAGCACACAGCATAAGGTTTTTAAAATACTCCTTTTTGGTTTGCTGTGGGAACAAAGATGATGTAACTTTGGTTGTGTGCTGTTCCGCTTCTGCAGGAAATGCTGTTCTCAGCCCGGTAGCTCGTTTGTCTGGAGAGTAAAGGTCTGTAGCCACCGGGCTTGTGAAGATGGTCAGGGAGAGACAGCTGTGGATCGCCCTGCAAGGGTTCCTAAAAACTTCTGAATCTTTGCAGCCAGGCACTAGGGTCTGCGTGTTGTTGCTGGATTGTTCTGTGGGAGGAAGAGGAGAGGAGCCGATGTGAGTGCAGGCAGCTCAGCACAGTCTTGGTCTGACTCACTTAACTGGTGGAGAAAGAACTCCCTGGGAAGCCAGCTTCTCTTGGGGAGGAAGGGCTTGCTTTGGCTGGGAGAGCAGCGCTGTGCATCCTGCGTGTTGCAGAATGGGAAATCTCTCAGGTGCCGTCCTTCAGAATCTGCAGAGAGATAGACTAGGGAAGGAAAACCTATCCTAGCGCTTGTCAGGTGTCTGTTTCCCCTGCCTGAGGTGTTGCATTTTTTTTCCTCTCCTTGCACTTTCTTTTTCTTTGAATCGAGATATAAATTGCTGCCAAGTTGGAGTATTCAGACCTCAAGCAGACAATAGTGTCTCTGGCATATCTTGTGTACTTGTGAGAGGCTACCTGGTGATGGCATTAGAGTCTTGTTTTACCGTGAAAGCGCCACAAGTATTGTTGCAAATAGTTTCCAGGATTCAATCAGCAAGAGGCAAAGGGAATCCCTGTCCTGGTCACCACCCGTTTGCTGTCAAGCCTGAGAAGCCTGTGCTGAATAAATTACTAACGCTGCCCTCTCTCTCTTTCTGCCTTCCAGGTCATTTCTCACTATCAATGCAAAGAACAGCGGGATGTCCACAGATTTGAGAAAATCAGCAACATTATTAAACAATTCAAGCTAAGTTGCAGGTGAGCAGCTGTAATCATTAGGTGGGGAAGATACCTCAGCAGGTATTTCAGCTTCATCCAGAAGCACGAAGGCTCTCTCCAAATTAAAACTCGTTCTGTGACTCCTCAGCAGGCTGAGATGCCGCAGTTCAATTGCACCATGCTTAAACACAGCTGAGTTAATTGTTATCCTTGCTAACTTCCTCCTCTGCTGATGGGTGACAGAGGTTTGTTCTGAAACAACCATTTTCTTCCAGGCTTCATTCTCCTGGGCAAGGTAGGGAAGTCCCAGGACTGAGCTGATAAATTAGTGATAGTCAGCGGTGCTGCGGAAAGTCAGGTGGGGAGCTTTGCTTCGGCCCCTGGACTGCCGCAGTGCTGCTTCGGGAGGAAGAGGCTTGCAAGTGCTGGTTACCAGTATTTGGAATGGAAAAGTAGAAAGCTTGCAGGGGAGTAGCTTGGCTTTTGAGCAGCCTCCAGGTTCCGCAGTCTGTTGGTAACATCTCTGCCTGTTAGGAGCCTGGAGAAGATGGAGACATGGCTGCTTGGGGTACAGAGCTGTCTGCAGATATTACAGTTTTCTGGTTATTTCTGGTGGTTATCCACAGGGTGTTAAACTGTCCCCAGTGACTGAGCTGCTCCGTCTGTGGGGAAACCGACACGAACTGCTTGGGCATAGCAGACCCCCACAGTCACTGGGGTTGTGTATCTCGAGTTTCCTTCACCATTCCGTGCGCAAATCATTTTATATTCTCATTTAGCCTAAAGCTAAAGAGTTTTTTCTTTAAAAAAAAAAAAACAACCAAAACCAAACCCAACCAGACTTGTAGTTCCCTCTGCTGTCACTTGCCAAGTGGGGACTCCAACAGTTTTTTGTTACTAACAACTCAAATAATGGGAAGGTGGCTGTGTGCTTGCAGAAGCTGTTTGAGCAATGTTGCAGTAATAGTTAATTTACTCCTTTTCTTTCTTTCTTTTTTTTCTTCCCCTCTTAGTAAGCTGGCAGCTTCTTTCCAGAGCATGGAGGTCAGGAACTCTAACTTTGCTGCTTTCATTGACATCTTTACATCAAACACATACGTGATGGTGGTCATGTCAGACCCTTCAATACGTAAGTTGAAGCGAAGATAAGCCGCTGGCTTGTTTTTGTTTGCGGGGACAAAAAGCTGAATGAGTCTGGTTTAAACTGGAAAATCTCCTCTTGGAAAATGCCAACACACCAGGCAGAGCAGTAAAACTGATTGTAATTAACAGAGAGGGGTGGACTGTCCCGCTGGCTTGCCCTGTCTGAGCAGAGGCTGGGGGAAGGGGCTTAGAAAGCGACTTCCCTCACGGAAGGCGACCGGGTGCCTTTGGCAGCTGAGCGATTTGTTGCTGTCGAGTGGAGGATCGTTTTGCTCTGACAGATGTGCCCTGATTTAGCAGGTCATGTCTAATCGCCTATTTTGGGCTGTTCTGCTCTGGCAGCCCCGGTGATTTTTTGGAGAGGAAGCAGGGATAGATCAGATTGGAGTTTTTTTGCTCTTGCTGCCTGAACAGCCTTGGTGGGCGAGGACTCTAATTATAGTAGCATCTATTTATCTTAACAAAGAAGCTGCAGCCAGGAGTGCCAGCCCTCACAGGCGCAGGGTGGCTGTTTAACTGTTTACACAACTGCAGCTCAAACTGCTCCTGGTAGGATTTCAGGTGCTTACGAGACACTGTCCAGGGCAACCGTGTGGCTTCCAGCGTTGATCCTTCCCGTGCTCCTCTTTTCGGATGGTTGACTGAAGTACCAGCTGTGATATTACTGGGCTTGAGGAGCAGCTAATGAGCAGCTGTGGTGACTTGTGCAGCAACCCTTGGGAGCAAACTGCTTGACCATGCTTCACTTTGACTCTCCCTCAGTGTTGCACCGGGGTCAGCAAGCAGCCCAGACCTTCCAGTGTTAAATTTTGCCCAGCCAGGGAGCAGCGGGGTTGAAATAAGAGCTTGCTGTCCGGGACGTTGCTTTTAGGCAGCACTTAACTTCTGAGGAGTTGGTTACTCTCATCCTTTTCAAACTTTTTTTTTTATCTCCCTTGTCCATTTTCCATCCTAGCTTCTGCGGCTACGCTGATCAACATCCGCAATGCCAGAAAACACTTTGAGAAGCTGGAGAGGGTGGATGGACCAAAGCACAGCCTGCTCATGCGCTGAATGTTGGCCAAGGCACATGGTCTTTGGGGGGAGAAAAAATGAATTGGAACTACTTATTTTTAGGAGAATCTAACAATGTCGGTGTCTTTGTTGGGCTTTGAAATGAGTGTGCTGCTTTATTTTTTCTCCTTTTAACGTTGGACACTAGTCACTCGGAGGATGTCTGGATACGCTGTGGACCTTCAAAAGAGACTTCCCTGGTGTACGTGGTGTTGGGAAGAAGTAAGGACAGGTGATGGGCACGTGGTCTCGTACTCTGGTTGTCACTGCGGCACGTGGCAGAGCCATTTCGGATGTTTTGCTCCTGAGTGATCATATAAGTCACAGGAATGGAATATTTACTGTTTTATTGGTTGGTCGCTAGAATATGTTTATAAATTTCTCCTTGTCTTCAGTCATGAAAATAAATTTTTGCTACCAGGGATTTCAGACCCTAGAGCTTTGGAAAGTGGATTTTCTTTCTTCTAGAACCTAGAGCAGCTTCGGCAAGCAGATGTGTAACGGCTGCTTTTCTCCTTCCATGTTATTGGGGGCTGTAGACTGAAGGCCACTCCAGAGTTTTATTTAAGGTGATTTTTTTTTTTTTTTTCCCCGCTGCTGAAGCAAAATTCCCTCAGCAGGTGAAGCAGTCGGGCTGGCATTGGCCTCTTTACCCTTGCCAAAGCGATGGAAGGATCTCAGTAAATAAAAAGGGGCCAAAGATCCTGATTGACCAAGCGGAGAGATAGTCCTGGCGTGCCCGGTCGGTGTCCTGGTGAGCCCGGAGAGGCTGGTGTGGGCACGGAGGAGCCGTCGAACATGTCGTGGGTGGTGTGTGCATGAGCTATAGCAGCTGTGTTGGCAACGAGCCGGTTGGACAGTGTTTGGCACTGATGTTATTGACGTTACTGTCTATTTTTTAATGATTTTTTTTGTGTGTGCATTTCCATTAAACATAGGAATGACAAAAGCGCTGTGAGTTAGGGGCATCTCTGGCTCGCTGGGTGGGAGCGGATGCTGGTCAGCATCTCTTTTCCCTTTTTTCTCTCTTGCTGCATCAAATGACTCTCTAAAAAAGGGTGTGGTGAGTCCGAGCCTGGCTCTCTGCTTTGTGTTCTCAAAATCCTCCTTTCCCCCTGTATCCCTGCCCACGCGCACGGCGGAGGGTGGGGGCACATGTCGCCTGGAGAGCTGCGTTCAGGCTCCGCACAAAATCTTCCATCGGTGTGAAACACCCGCGTCTTGCACCGCCTACTCAGCAGATACTCAGCGGCTGCATCGGTGCCCAGGCAGGCTGGGTGTTCTCAATGAGAATCATCAAGTCAGCATCGCCGTGGGAGAGGATCTCGCCGAGATTCCTGCTCACCATTCAGGTGCCTGAGGTTCTGGAGAAGTTGTGAATGGGCTGGAGGTGCAGCGGGGGATTTCTGGTTGTCCTCGGTGCTTGCAGGGGTGGAACACGGAGCCTGTCCTGGAGTGGGAACAGCAGATCTCGCCCGTGGTTGCTGTTGTCTGACATCGGGCTGGAGCAAGACGAAACATGACGACAGTTTTCTCTTGTGGATGCTGCCCCACCGCTTGGACAAGGTCAGTCCCTGCTTTTGCTCCACTCGGTGGAAAAACTTCACTGCTTTCTGCACCCAAACCCTCGGCGCTGTTCAGCGCAGCAAGAGGATGAGTCGCAGCAAGAGGATGAGTCGCTGCTGATGTGTTTGTGGTGGGAACCTTGGGAACATCACCTCTGAGGGATTTCACCAGCAAAGGCTCCGCTTGCAGGAGATGAGCAGCTGTCACAGCTTCGGGAGAGCAGAGGATGGCTCACGGCCGCGATTCCAGCGCGGGTTGAAGCACCTTCTGCTCCGGGAATGCTTTCCTAGCAGGCAGCTGACGAGGAGAAGACAGTAGGAAATGCTGCTGGTCTCCATGGTTACGGGGAGTTGCTGTTGGGTTTCCTTAGGGGCTGAACTGTTCGGCATGTGAAGGGGGATAATGCTAAGGGGGGAGATGTGGGGTGGGAAGCAGGAGACAAATGGCTTGAAGGAAGAGGGGAGCCACACCCTGCGTGCAGGTACCTGGCTGGCTGAAGCCTCTCTGGGGCCAGCGGTACAGTGACGGTAGCTAAAGCTCTGCTGTCACTGCAGATCTTTTTTCCTGAAGTACATTTATTGTGGGAGCTCTTTGGAAATCAACACTTTCCTGTTGCGCTTGGGCAGGGATGCTGCTGGCGCTGCTCTGTGCGCACACTTGTCCAGGGACCGCCCGCGGTGTGGAACAGATAGGCGGGTGGCTTTATTTCGAGACGATCAGCTTACCTGTTTCCACAGCACAAGGTTGGGTTTTGTTTCTCTCTCTCTCCCAAAAGCAAACCATCGGGCAGATGTTGCTCTTACAAATATCCTCGTGCCCCGGCCTGGCACTGAGGTTGCAGAGCTCCATCACTGTTCTTCAGGATTCGACCTTGGAACTTGCAGAACCTCTGTGCCTCCCGTCATCGAGGTGCCCCGTCCCTGGAGGGGTTCAAGGCCAGGCTGGAGGAGGCTTTGGGCAACCTGGGCTGGTGGGGGGTGTCCCCGCCCATGGCAGGGGGGGGCACTGGGGGGGCTCCAAGGTCCCTTCCAACCCAAACCACCCTGTGATCCTGTGAGACACTCCGGTGTCTCCAGACCCACTTTTCTTCTAGTAGGGACCCCCAAACCGGACACAGGGTCCAGCTGCGCTCCCCAAAGTGCTGGAGGGAGAGGACTGGTCACCAGTGGCCCGTGGGGACTTCCTGATGCTCACTGCAACCCTTTGCATCCACGAGTTCCTTCGGTTTTGTGCCTCCCCACCCGTTCTTCCATGGAGATGATGTTTGGGGTTGCTCGAGTGTCCAGCACAGCAAGAACATGGGGGTGTGTGCTTGGCCGGGCTGGAAGGGGTAGAGCTGAGGGATGGACCTGAGCCCCCCAGGTGTTTGGTCCATGTGCTTGGACATCACGATGCCAACGGTGGTGGGTCCGGCTCAGCAGGGAGGTGGTGGCGCCTTGCCACGATCCGGGGGGTTTTACCTTGTGTGGAATGGAGGATCTCATCTGTGGTTAAGCCTGAAAGCAGCAGCACGGACCCGCTTCTGGGGCGCTTGGATTGTTCATCTGCTCCCAGCATGGGCAAGAACCCCGTGCCCCACTGCCGCAGCCAAGGAGCTGTTTCTGGCTGGTGTAAAAGACTGGAGGGCTGCTGGGGGCCATCAGCGCATCCATCGCACCTTCTTGCTTGATTTTTTGCTTTTCCTTTGGGTCCAACGCTCTCCCTCTCTGCTGGAGGATGAGCCAGCGCCCCGCATGGTGCGGGTGCAGCAGAAGCACAAATTCGTTTCGCTGCTTTTTGATTCAGCTCCGCAGGAGGCCAAGGAAAGGGCTTGACTCAATAAATGTGCACATTTTCTAAGGGAATGAGCGTTTTTATTGCAAAGAAGGGGTAGGACCAGTCCCCTTCCTCGTTGAGCTGCAGCAGCTGGGCAAGAGCGGGGTGTCACCGGGGGTCCCCGTCCTCCCATCCCGGTGCAGCAGCTCTGGGGTGGCCCTGGGCAGCTGCAGCTTCTCCTTGTTGGCCAAGGTCAGCGC